ACGGAGTTTCACTCTTGTTACCCAGGCTGGAGTGCAATGGCGCGATCCCGGCTCACCGCAACCTCCGCCTCCTGGGTTCAGGCAATTCTCCTGCCTCAACCTCCTGAGTAGCTGGGATTACAGGCACACGCCACCATGGCCAGCTAATTTTTTGTAGTTTTAGTAGAGACGGGGTTTCACCGTGTTGACCAGGATGGTCTCGATCTCTTGACCTCGTGATCCACCCGCCTCGGCCTCCCAAAGTGCTGGGATTACAGGCTTGAGCCACCGCGCCCGGCAGATCTCTTTCTTTCTAGATGGAGTCTTGCTCTGTCGCCAGGCTGGAGTGCAGTGGCGCGATCTCGGCTTACTGCACCCTCGGCCTCCTGGGTTGAAGCGATTCTCCTGCCTCAGGCTCCTGAGTAGCTGGGATTACAGGCATGCACCACCACATCCAGCTAATGTTTTGTATTTTTAGTAGAGACGGGGTTTCACCATGTTGGCTAAGCTGGTCCCTGACCTCAGGTGATCTGCCCACCTCAGCCTCCCAAAGTGCTGGGATTACAGGCATGAGCCACTGTGTCCACCCTGATTATTTATTTTTATTTTATTTTATTTATTTATTTTTTGAGACGGAGTCTCACTCTGTCACCCAGGCTGGAGTGCAATGATGCTAACTTGGCTCACTGCAACCTCCGCCTCCTGGGTTCAAGCAATTCTCCTGCTTCAGCCTCTCGAGTAGCTGGGATTACAGGCACCTGCCACCATATCTGGCTAATTTTTGTAATTTTTTAATAGAGGCGGGGTTTCACCATGTTGGCCAGGCTGGTCTTGAACTCCTGACCTTAAACAATCTGCCCACCTAAACTTCCCAAAGTGCTGGAATTACAGGCGTGAGCCACCATGCCCGGCCTGATTATTTATTTTTTGAGGCAAAGTCTTGCTCTGTTGCCCAGGCTGGAGTGCAGTGATGTGATTATGGTTCGCAGCAGCCTCAACCTCCTGAGCTCAAGTGATCTTTCTCCCTCAGCCTTCCGAGTAGCTACAATTACAGGCATGTGCCACCATGCCTGGCTAATTTTTTAATTTTTTTATAGAGATGAGGTATCCCTGTGTTGCCTGGGTTGTCTCAAACTCCTAGGCTCAAGCGATCCTCTAACCTTGGCCTTCCAAAGTGCTGGGATTACAGGTGTAAGTCACTGTGTTGAGCTCAAGATTTACATGTCAATTTCTGACCTCTCCCATGAGTTCCAGATTTAAATATAATAAAAGCTAACACTCAAGCCTGTAATCCCAGCACTTTGGGAGGCCGAGGCGGGTGGATCACGAGGTCAAGAGATCGAGACCATCCTGGTCAACATGGTGAAACCCCGTCTCTACTAAAAATACAAAAACATTAGCTGGGCATGGTGGCGCATGCCTGTAATCCCAGCTACTGAGGAGGTTGAGGCAGGAGAATTGCCTGAACCCAGGAGGCGGAGGTTGCGGTGAGCCGAGATTGTGCCATTGCACTCCAGCCTGGGTAACAAGAGTGAACATCTTTTACAAGAAAAAAAAAAAAAAAAAAAAGCTAACAGGCCAGACATGGTGGCTCACACCTGTAATCCCAGCACTTTGGGAGGCCGAGGTGATGGATCTGATCACCTGAGGTCAGGAGTTCAAGACCAGCCTGGTCAATATGGTGAAACCCCGTCTCTACCAAAAATACAAAAAATTAGCTGGGTGTGGTGGTGGGCACCTGTAATCCCAACTACTCGGGAGGCTGAGGCAGGAGAATTGCTTGAACCCAGGAGGTGGAGGTTGCAGTAAACCAAGACCATGCCATTGCACTCCAGCGTGGACAATAAGACCAAAATTCTGTCTCAAAAAACAAAACAAGCCGGGTGCGGTGGCTCAAGCCTGTAATCCCAGCACTTTGGGAGGCCGAGGCGGGTGGATCATGAGGTCAAGAGATCGAGACCATCCTGGTCAACATGGTGAAACCCCGTCTCTACTAAAAATACAAAAATTAGCTGGGCATGGTGGCGCGTGCCTGTAGTCCCAGCTACTCAGGAGGCTGAGGCAGGAGAATTGCCTGAACCCAGGAGGCGGAGGTTGCGGTGAGCCGAGATCGCGCCATTGCACTCCAGCCTGGGTAACAAGAGCGAAACTCCGTCTCAAAAAAAAAAAAAAAAAAGAGAGAAGCAATTCTCCTGCCTCAGCCTCCCGAGTAGCTGGAACTACAGGCACATGCCAAACGCTCGGCTAATTTTTTGCATTTTTAGTAGAGATGGGGTTTCACCGTGTTAGCCAGGATGGTCTCGATCTCCTGACCTTGTGATACACCCGCCTCGACCTCCCAAAGTGCTGGGATCACAGGCATGAGCCACTGCACCCAGCCAAACATTCTGTCTCTACAAAAAATAAAAAACTAGCCACATGTAGTGGTATGCACCTGTAGTCCCAGCTACTCAAGAGACTGAGGTGGGATAATCGCTTGAACCAGGGAGGTCGAGGCCACAGTGAGCCATGATAGAACCATTGCACTCCAGCCTGAATGACAGAGTAAGACCATGTCTTGAACAAAAAATCTAAACCTAAAGTATTTATTTATTTATTTAGAGACAGAGTCTCGCTTTATCACCCAGGCTGAAGCGACAATTTTTTTATCACTACTTGCCATCTCCACTCATTGCAACCTCCACCTCCCAGGTTCAACCTCCACCTCCTGGGTTCAAGCAATTCTCCTGCTTCAGCCTCTGGAGGCTTGCCAGGCACTGTGCTAGACCCTGGAGATACTGGAGTGGTGAATATAGACTATGGATTATAATAATAATGAAGGACGAAGCTGGGATTACAGGCATGAGCCACTGTGCTCAGCCCTCCTGTTGCTTTTTTTTTTTTCTTTTTTCGGTCTTATTTTTCAGTTGGTTTAAAATTTGGACAAGGCCGGGCGCGGTGGCTCAAGCCTGTAATCCCAGCACTTTGGGAGGCCGAGGCGGGTGGATCACGAGGTCAAGAGATCGAGACCATCCTGGTCAACATGGTGAAACCCCGTCTCTACTAAAAATACAAAAAATTAGCTGGGCATGGTGGTGCGTGCCTGTAATCCCAGCTACTCAGGAGGCTGAGGCAGGAGAATTGCCTGAACCCAGGAGGCGGAGGTTGCGGTGAGCCGAGATCGCGCCATTGCACTCCAGCCTGGGTAACAAGAGCGAAACTCCGTCTCAAAAAAAAAAAAAATTTGGACAGAAAAGTATTTAAATGTCTTCAAGAACCTGAGTCACCTTCTCAGAACAGCCTTCTGCTATGTTCCTAATACTTATTCCACATCACATCTCTGCTTACGTACTTCATCATTATTATAATCCATAATTATCTTTTTTCTTGTTTATTGACTGCCTTTTCCATGAAACTTTCCAGGGCAGAGCCCATGTTCATCTCATTCACCACTCCAGTATCTCCAGGGTCTAGCACGGTGCCTGGAAGTACTCAATAAATGTTTGTTGACTATGACCTTTTCCAAAGGAGAAATGCCATTTTCATTGAGAAGCCAGAGTGGCATCACCTTGCCCATAATGAGCTAGCTGTTGACTCTCGTAACTATAAGACATTGATTCCGGGCTTGGTGCGGTGGCTCACGCCTGTAATCCCAGCACTTTGGGAGGCCGAGTTAGGCAGGTCACTTGAGGTCAAGAGTTCAAGACAAGCCTGGCCAACAGGGTGAAACCCTGTCTCTACTAAAAACACAAAAATTACCCAGACGTGATGGCACATGCCTGTAATCCCAGCTACTGGGGAGGCTGGGGCAGGAGAATTGCTTGAACCTGGGAGGCAGAGGTTGCAGTGAGCCAATATCACCCCATTGCACTTCTTCCTGGGCAAAGAAGCAAGACTGTCTCAAAAAAAAAAAAAAAAAAAAATTCCAGATGACTAAGAGAACAGGATATGCAGAAATCTTACTTACTTCCTACCCTTAAAATCTTATTGTTCCAAAACTTGGCCTGAAAAATGAAAATCACAGGAAAAAACCTAATAATAGTTTTAACCTTCGTGCTGGTTGGCATGGCTTCTGGCCAGCTTGAGCAAGGGTCTTCTATTATGGACAAGACTGAATTTCAGTTGAAGTGGACGTAGATTCCACTTGCCATAGGATAAGGAGTCATATTTTCCTCTACAATTCTAGTATCTTTCTAGACAGGACTCAAGGTTTACCTCTGGAAGGAGAGGAAAAACTTATTTGGCCAACTCTGAGCCCTTTCTTTCCTTTCGTTTGGTGCTGGCAAAGTAAACCAGCAGATTACACCCAAGACTGAGGTTCTGAACCTGTATACAGGCATTGCTCCTCCTAGACAGCAACGGACAGGGATTGCTGAGGGGCATTTTATCATGGAATCACTCTTGTGTTGCTTGATGGAGTCTGATGCTGGTTCACCAAAGACTGGCATGG